GCTTGGTTGTCCCAATGTCTCCCAAAGCTGCCAGCGAGCTTAGAATATTCCTGGGACCAGGTGCAATGCGCACAGGGAGGAGTTTGTGAGGCTGTGGGAAGCGTTCCTCAAGGACAGGAAGAGGTTTTTCCATTCATAGCCACTGGCAATAACAGGATGGAGCTGTGCACATGATAAATATTCAAACAAAGCTTTGGGGACACTTGCAAACAAAGAGGTCAATAACCTGAGAAGGGAGCAGGCTCCAGGCACTGGAATTATTCAACACCGGGAGAGTCAGAGCATCAGGGGGAAGGATTTTGGCTCTCATCCAGGTGCTCTGGATGACATTGGGCTGCTCCCTGTACTCGCTCCTGGAGCTGCTCAGAGCAATAGAGAAGTGGGATTTAGCTATTTCTCACTCATTTCCATTGCTAATTTCCAGGTGGCTGCCGAAAACACCTGGGAGGATGGTTGGCTTTGCCTGTACACACTAGGAATTAAGCCATTAAAGGCAATCTTCAAGGCAATTAAAATACTTGGACTTGTCATTTTTCTATGATGCCTAAAGATGCTTTCAAGAATATTTTAAGGTTTTAAGATTTTTGTTCACGAATTGCTTTTAGCTGAGGGAAGGACTTTGGGCTGGTGCTATCAGGAGGGCTTCTAGTGAGATGGTGATCACAAAGGACAGCTCATTCACTGCCTCCTGCTGCTTTCTGTCATAGCTTCAGAGTGGGAGCTGACTTGGGGTGGGAGAGGGGGGAACAGTTTGATTGAAAAAGACAAGAAATATCTAGGGGAAACAAATCTCTCCTTGTGAAAGATTTCCAGTGCCTTGTGTTAAATCCAGAATTAACTCTTGCAAGATATTTTGGCAAGTACATTGGGGTTTCCTATTTCCCATTCAGGCTTCCTATTTCTCATTCATTTAGGATAAAAACCAGGCAGGAATATCCTTCAGAAAGCGTCATCTCTGCAGATACTTGAGATCTATATCACCTGCCCTTGGTGAGACCTTGGTCTCATCTAGATGATGTTGCTGTAGCAGGTTTTCTACTGCAAACGTCTCATTGCAGCTCATTTTCTTGTTTGTTACTGCTGTCCTCCCTGCTTTCTGCCATACCCATATGCTGACTTCCTTCAACATCATATCTTGTATTCATGGACCTGTTTAGTGCCCTAAGTTTGATGCTTCCCCCAGCATCCGTGTATATAGCTGTTTGCATAACCCTAAGAGAAGGGTACTGAGCCAAGAAGGTTCAAAGCTTCTTCTCACCGTTGCAGAGGGACCTTTGCTCTTGACGTAGCTTTGTGGCCAGCTAAATAAAATGCCCAGCTCAGGGTGACTTCCAGACAAGCTGTCCTGGGTGCATTCCCTTAATGTGCCTGTGCCAGCGCAGATATAAAGATAGTCCCAATGTTTGGGAATTGCTGAGAATTAGCACTGTTAATTTATGGCCAGCCCTTACATTAATCCCTCCCGTTAATTCCTTATCTCTGCTCCAGCATATGGGCTCATACCGCTTTCATCTGGGAAACTCATCAGCTGTTTGTATAAAAGTCACCCTTAGCTTCACCCTTTGCTTGCGGGTTGCGAGGCTGAATGAAGAACAAGGAGGAAGACAATGGTTCAATGGAGCAGAGGCACAAGGAGAAAGTGGTTTCCAGCTTTGCAGGGGGAGAAAATAGCTTGGAGCAAGGAAACGGCATCATTGCAGCTGGTGGGAGTCAGTGACGGGTGTCTGAATTCCCACGTTGTATCTTTGCTGAGCAGGCTGAAGATGCCTTTTACCAGCTGCTGGGGCATTTTTCCATGTGCTTCTCACCCGTAATCAAAAAATGCACCTGTGTGATGGAAATGAAAAGGACACTGAAATTGCAAATGCAGCAAACAAGGAAATTAACTTTATTTAATTGCTTCCCAGCTACTGCTCGTGTGCATTTTAATAGAAGTCTTGCAGAAAGCTTCAGGGTGAGGGGATGAGAAGCTGCTTTTATTTGGGTGGTGTGTGTTAGTAGTTTTTGCATGCTGTCAGTGCTGATTAATGTAATATACACAAGAGACTGCATCCAAGACACGGTGCCAGCCTCTGCTTCGTCCTACCAAGGCAAATACCTGTCGCTGCAGGGTGAGTTCACATGTTTAACACTGTCATAAAAACATAGTGCAGCCCTCAGGATTTGCCTACGGATAACACAGGATGATGGAATGTTTTCCATATTACTCTCGGCCATTCCAGTACAGTCCTCACTGTAGAGAGGATGAGATGGATCGTGTTTACAGAGGCTGAAAAAATATCTCAAAGCCCCTTCCCTTTCTCCTAAGGCTTAGCAGGCCCTTGGCAACCCTAAATAAAATTTTTGGGGGTATGGCCTCAAGGTGGGCTGTCAATTTGCTTGGGCTAAGAGGCTTCGTCATTTACCAGCACGCTTCTAAGGGGTTTATTTTTAAGAGTTTTATTTATCTGTATGATTCAGACCTTTCATCCCCTGTCTGGGCACACGTGTGCTTAGAGCTGTACCAGATTTAACGTGCTACAACAGAAAATAAATGTGACCAACCTTAGCTGCAAATCAGAAGAATTGAGAGATAGAGATGCGCTCGGCAGGGATGAGATGCATCCAGAGAAGAGTTATCCTCTGCTCATGCTCACTTTGAGGCTGGATACTCTTCTCATTGAAAACCCTTTTTGTTGCTTCATCTTTTTCAACACCTGGCTTCCACTGTTAATTCACCATCCCATCTTCAATTCCTGGCACTGATGGGATGAGCTGCCAACTTCTTCACCCTCTTTCTCCGCATATTGATAGGGGAGCCTGGGCAGCTTTAACAGGACACCTCACTCCTGGTGCCAGCAGAGATGGAATCTACTTTATGTTTAAGGAATTCCTGTTCCTCTTGGTACCTGACCAGATTTTCTGGTCTGTGGGGGCAGCAAGCATTCTTACAAACTCACCAGGAAGGGATAGCAAAAAAATTCCAGGGAAGTGCGAAGATTTTCCACTTTCCATGGAGCAATAAATTGCTTTTCCCCCCTTCTGTGATTTTCTTCCTTTTCCTTTCAGATTTTCCCGTGGTCTTGCTGAGGAACCTCCGGCATCCTGTCTATCTGCTGGTGGTCTTGTCTCAGGTCAACCTCTCTGCCATGGTGGCTGGTTTAGCGACATTCATGGGGAAGTTCCTGGAAAGACAGTTCTCCCTCACAGCATCTTTTGCCAACATGATCATTGGTAAGTGCTGCTGACACGCTTGGGACTCGCCAGCTTTTGAGCATTTCTTGGAAAATAATCTGGAGGCTACTAAGAAATTCCTTTTCCTCTGGAGCTGCCAGTTTCCTGCTGTCCCCTGGAGGTATGTACTGAACAAGGTCTCTGCCTGAGTGATTTTTCAGATACTAATTTCCTTCCTTTACATTGCAATCTGAGCTCGCTATAATAAAGCCTTGCAAGACCCGGAGAAATGTTTGTTATATAAAGCTGTTTGCTATAATCAAGGAGAGAACATTATCTTGTGTGAGAGGGAAAAAAAAAGGCATGAAAAACATGCACCTTTTTTTAATAGGAATTAGTCACACTGAGCACTGGGTTAAGGGTCTTGGAAGTGGGACTAGATTATGCCCAGAGGTCCCTTCCAAGCTGAACAATTCTGTGATTCTGTGTTGTAAGAAGCAGGTAGTAAACAAAAGGAAAAACTGCAAAAATACATGCATACATTTTGCAAGACAAAGAAGACCCATTAGACTTGTTGTGCTAACCTTTTATAAACCCTTCAAAACCCTTGCTATAATTAACTAATTTCTCATAACAGTTAGGCTAATTGCTGGCTGTTGATATCGTTGCAAAGGAAGGATGAAGCTTTAAGCAGTATATGTTCTTGTGAGATTAGACTTCTATTGCTGTAATAGCCATAATGGCTCTATGGGCTGGGATTGCACTGTGTAAATTTATCACGATAATAAAAACACAAAGAATAAAGCTGTACTCTTACAGTAAGTTAGGCGAGTTGAAGAGTTCAGAGGTCTAGGCAATAGATGCAGAAGTATTTGCAATCATTTTAAACAAATAGTGTGCATTCCTCCGAGTAAGGAATTTCTAAAATCTTTAGCAAATCAGATGACAATGAACAGACTGGAAGAAGGGAACAGGCTGGTAAAGCTCTTGTGCAGGCAAAATATAGTCAGAAACCATGAAATCTTTTTTTATTTTTGTTTTGTTTTTGGACACATTATTTCCTCAACAGTTTCATTATGCAGAAATAAAGCATCCTCTCCAGGTTTACTTGATATTTTCTCCCATATTCCCTGAAAGATTGCATTTTGAATGATTAACTCTTTCTTTTCCATGGGACGTGATGTTTGGATGATTTGGTCCCTAGATCTCCCATTTATCTGTCTAGAATGGGAGCCTGCTTGCAGTGAGATCCTGCAAAACTGCTGGTTTTGCTCTTAGTGTTATTCTGCAAATTTGGTATGCTGCAGATCGTTGGTGCTGAATATTAGGAAACCAACAGCAGATCCTCTGGGCCTTCATTGCAAATGGGCCAATAGTTATTCTCTTTTTCTTGCTCAGAGCTTAGAGGATAAAAATCGAGATCTAGGTCCAAGCTGTAACTCTTAGCCCTGGGCTGCAAGGCAAAACAAGGCACTTTTGTCTCTGCAGTCTTGACTTGCTCCATCTCCAAAATGGTGTTTTCTTTGCAAGGCTCCTTGAGCTAGTGGTGGATGATGCCAGGAGCTATTTTTTGGGTAAATGAGCTGGCGTTGAGTATCTCTGCAGTCTTGACTTGCTCCATGTCTGAAATGGTGTTTTCTTTGCAAGGCTCTTTGGGCTAGTGGTGGAGGATGCCGGGAGCTACTTTTTGGGTAAATGAGCTGGCGTTGAGTCCACTCAGAGGCTGCTGAAGGAAGGCAGCAGGGACATCACCGTTCTTTTGGGACAGCAGCTCTCTTACTCTTGGTGCCTTCCCCCAGGTGCTGTGAACATCCCCGGGGCCATGGTCGGGATTGTGGTGGGTGGTGCCATCATGAAGCGGTTCCAGATGTCCCTGAGGCAGTGCGGCGCCCTGTGCATCCTCGGCATGTTCCTCTGCGTGGTCCTGGCTTTTCCCCTGCTCTTCCTCGGCTGTCCAACGCAGAAGGTCGCTGGCGTCACCTACAGTGGCAGGTACCAAGAACTCAAGCTATGTGAGGTGACCAGCAGTGCATCCTTGTCTCACTTTGTTACCTCCAGTTGGACTCCTCAGAGTCAAGATTGGAGTTTGAAAGTTAGGCAGAATACTCAGAAATTGGGTTATTCCCTTATGAGAAACCATCCCTTATGGTGATAGAACAAGGCTGGAAATGATCATGGTGGGGGAGGTAAATGGTGGTTCTGTTGCATTCTTGCTCACCCTAGCTTCATTGACCATGAAACCCAAAGTGAATGCCATTTTGGCACAAACAACACAAGATGAACATTCATCTCAGAAAATGCAGAATATAATTCAGGGACTAATACTCTGGCAAGAAGTCAGCCCTGGGCTAATACCTGGGAGGCAGGAATACTTCCCCACACCACCGGAATGCAGGCAGGACCTTGCCTTCATTTAGGGCTCCGTCCAAGCTTCTATAAACCCTTTCAGTCAGATCCTTGAGATTTCAGTGATGTTGGATCAAGCTCATCACCTCTGAGAGCACCGTGTTGCTCTATCCTTAGGACCCCACATTGGGAACTGAAAGATCAATGTGAAGCAAGTGCAACTCCCTCAATCACTTATGGCCAATCTGCTTTTTCCTGCAGAACAGGGGCTGTGGGGGTTTATAACAGAATTTCTGTGAGTCCCTTAGAGGTTACATATGTGGATGGTTCCGTGTTAAGCAATCGAGTGTTTCTCTACTAAAATCTATTCTTATTTTCTGCATAAGATACGTATATCAGCGATGCTCCTATAATACGTACTAATATATTCTCTTATCTCTTTCTGGCACAGCTCTGGATATGAACACCATGCTCTGGAGTGTAACCTTCACTGCAACTGCCCTGAGAAAGCCTACAACCCCATCTGCGGCTCTGATTCTATCGAGTACATCTCGCCGTGCTACGCTGGCTGCGAAGTCGTAAATATTGATGCGGTTAAAAACACAGTCCTGGTGAGTCATTCCCCACTGCGCTAGTGTCCTGGCTTGGGTTGGCGAAAGAGGGATGACCAATGCGGTGCTTAAGGCTGTCTCTGAGGCTCTCTGGCATCTTCATGCCCTTCACTCTTAAACTGGGACCTGTAAGGTCTCCTTTCTTGGCTATGGTGGCATAGGAGGACGTGCAGTAACAGAAGGCTGGGCCAGTTGTAGCACCCAGTGTGAGCCAGATCAGCCTCTGTGGATGCCCCTGGTCTTCAAGGGATGCCCACCTACACCAGGCTTCTGCTTTGAACTGCTCCATGGAAAGGGACTGGTGGAAACCAGGCTCTGATATAGGCAGGTTGTGAAACAGCAGCAGAAAAGACACAAGTGATAGCTACAGGAGGAGAAATCAGTGTGTGACTTATTTTAGTTATACTGCCTGCCACCATGTACATCAGGCATCTATAGGTTATGCATAGGGATGAAAGGAAAGGAGGTAAATCCCACTTTGGGAAAATCAGGTAGCAATTCTGTATGCACTAGGAAAGCCATGCGCAGATGGACTGTTGTCCCAGTTCACATAGTGTGACATTTAGCACAGTTCCTATCCCAGCTTCCATGGTTTCTATCCCACTCATAGGCCTTCAGATGTGCAGAATAAAATATCACAGCCTTGTTGTGATTTGCATGTCCATAAGCAAGACTGATAAAACCAAGTATCTGCATGAAATTCAGGGGAGAGAGCCTTGATGTAGGCTAGAGAAATGGGCTCCAGTCTTGACTTTCCCTCTGATTAGCAGAGGCCTGGCCAGGTTTATCTAGATGTCCTGTGCTCCTTTTCCTCTGGTTCTTCCTGCTCATGTCCATAATAATCCCAGCAGAGCTGAGTTTTCATAGTGCCAGTTGCCTATTGAGCCTCCAGGCAATACAGCTCTACAAATAAATAAGAAGGAAATTTCTGCCAAGCCAAACACCTAGCTGAAAAATGTTACTGGTTCATTTAGGGTAAGCAGTTTTCCTCTCCGTTCTTGGCACAGGGAGTGATTGTAGTGTGAGACTGGCTCGGCACTCTTCTTAGCAGCATTTTGTTAATTAACAACACTTCATTCTAATAACAATTATGTTTTCTGCCAGAGCTTATTCCCAAAGCTGCCTGTTTGCAGCCTTGCGCCAGCCTCGTGCACGATAGTCTTTTAGCTTAATCAAAGTCGATGCCAGCCCTTTGGCATCCCTCATTCCCAAATCTGACCCATAATTGTGTAATTATTACCTGATGGTGGTAGCTACATGTTACCATAAAACAAGGATTCTCTTTAACTGTGCAATTACTACTTACTAAAGTCAGCGATTGGTCTTAAGTGATTCG